CAAAGGATTCTTAATATAATCGAATAAACACGCAAAATATTGAAAGAGTTAAAAATGTTTGAGGTACATCAGACTAATAGCACATATATCAAATTTCAGATTGATTCGATTTAAAATGGCTAAGATACCAAACCATAAAAAATGTGAGTAAATACTCTGCCTATCAAGGCTTGTTATATAATTACATGGTTTCAGTATGGTTCTTATTCATCGAAAACTATTATAAATGATCATTGCTGCACAAAATCCTTCAACAATGGAAAGTTTTAATATCTTAGAGATGAATATCAATGTCTCTAAATGTTAAGCCACTTGAATAAATAATTCAATCAAATTTACCTTCTTTTAATCAGATGAAATCAGTTCTTTGTTAATAATGAAATTTGAAAACCTTAAAATTTTTGGTTTTGGCTGATCTTCAAATAAAAAAATAAAATAAGCAATAAAGACAGTTGAGTTAAACATTTTTTTTTCATTTTTTTTCTTAAGTTACATCTGAGTTTACCAACACATGTGTCAAGATTCAGCCCAGAGTGATGTATAACTAAGAATTTAGCCCCTCAAAGCAAAACTTGGATCAGAACCTTTGAGGAAATATTTAACTGTGGTGACACTCATGCAGTAATTAGCTATGAACCTAAAGACTAAAGATATTTTGTTTTCTTTTATTTTAAATAGTTATTTTGTCACTATACTTCTTAGTAAACTCCAAAGCAAAAAAAAAAAAAAATGTTGAATTTAAAGGGTATATATTCTTTTATTAAAAATAAGTGCATCATTTTCTATTTCAAATCCTGGCATGGATGATTGTCCAAATTCTTCACCTACATTACTGTTGTGAAAATCAGTATTGTGGTTATACAAATAATACATCTGAAATATGGAAAAGAAACGGGTGATCTGAACCTGTCTCAGTCATTATCATTGAAAAGCTCTTAAGGGGCCCAATCACTGGCCTCAAAATTCCTTGCAGTTAACTGTTCCTACCGTCATCCTTCCTTTTTCACATAGGAAATTACCAGCCAACAGAAATAGCATGCCAGCTACACAAATACAACTTAAACTTGGTAGTCCAACTATTAAAACGTGAAGTTTAAAAAAAAAAGACATTTCATTGAATTGTCACTTTCAGAATTTTTTTTCTGTAGAAATTTCAGTTGAGCTGACTTTTATGTAGACTCCCTTTTCTTCACAAGGTCACAGAGGTACAAATTATTATTATCTCTTAAAAACAGCTTGTAGGTAAAGTAGAACCTTATTATTTAAACATACATATACACATAAAGAACCATCGCAATGTTTGAGTACAATGATACAGATAAGGGGAACTGGAGTTCTATCTGACCTAGTAACACCAGCACCTTGCAAATACCTGGCATCAGCTGTTTCTCAAAAATAAGTGTGGAATATAGGATTGGACAATTTTCTTGATTTTATGTTCTATGACATCATCAGCAATCTCTGCCTAACTCCAGATAAATTTGTCAACCTGAATGGAAGACATTTAGAAGGGATTTTAAAAAATAAAAAAATTAAAAAAAAACACTGTTTTCCAAAAGCAGGAGTGAATACTAGTGATAAAAATAATAATAGTAGGCAAGATTATTTTTAACTTAATGTTTAGCCTCTTAAGACGGAGCACTAGGTGCTTATTACTTAAAATATTCTAAGACCATTAGGAGACATGATTTCTGTCTTTAACAAGCATAGCATAAAGGCGCATGACAAAATATTTTAAAACTCCATCATGCATGATAAACTGTGAATGAAATAAGGCTTTTAATGCTTTTCTTTAAGTTAAAGCCAAGCTTGTTTTTTTAAAAAATGGGGCAGGGGAGGCTTCTACTCTGCCTTCCTTTGGTAACAGATTGCTTCTCTGCACTTGATTGGTCTGAGGATGTTGAAAACTTCAAAGGAAATGTGTTCGCGTGGCTAGCCAATTTACATTGTACTACACAGTGTGACCAGGCCAGAGCGCTCATCTGTGCTGTAGTTAGAGAGATGTGGTTCTGTGATCACACAGGTAGGGACACTGTCCACTTCTCTCACATTCTCTGCTGCTTCCAGAATTTCAAGTGTGTCAAGTATAAGCTTCTACAAGGCTAACCAAAGTGCTAAATTTGTTTAGATGGGAGGTAACTTCATGTGTGAAATATTTCTCACTTACCTCCCACTCTCCACCCCCAAGCAAGCATTCGCCTATTAAATTCTAGGTGTGAACACCTAGATATTTCACTCTGACTCAACTTTCCATTCTCATATTTGATAAGATTGGTACAAATGAAATACATTTGAGAATATCCAACTATATGTTTAAGCACATCCCAAATGTTCAATAACGAGATTAAGTGGATAAAAACAAAACTAAAAAAAAGTTTTCCTCATACAAAAGGGATCATTACTGAATCTCCTTAACAAATAGCTAACTTACTGAGCATTTACTACATCTCTGGCACTGTTTTAATTGCATCTGTTAATTTACATAATATTCACAATAGCACACACTATAAAGATGGGGGTAATTTAAGCATTGAGAAGTTAGATAACTTGCTCAAAGTTGCACCTAGCAAATGGCAGAGACAGGTTTTAAACACAAGTAGTCTGAATCCTAAATCCAATTACTAACCTCCACACTATACTGATTCTAAGTAAGTGAATTCAAAGTACTCCTGATGTATTTAAGATGAGGTATGGTTTTCCTAAAATACAGCAACCTGTATGGGAGTGTAAGCGCTGCTTAAGCAAGATACACCTGTGGGAACCAGTGCTGTAATTTCAGGATTTTCCCTCTAACTAATGAAGGGCATTTTCTCTGCAAAAGAATTAAGCACCAAATTGTGCAAGGGTTGAAAAGCTCACTGAAATCAGCATGACACCCACTTTAGCATGTTGTGTCAAGCACCCAGGGCATAAGGAAAGAAAAGCGGGCTGGAGTGAATGGTTGCACCTTCAAATTTGAGTCTCAGCCATATATGTGGGCTAGATTACAAATGGACATTTACATTGCCTTTATGTGGACCAAGTTGGTGCTTATTTGCCAAACTTGTTATTTAGATCTAGGAGAATGACAGGATGGCCCCAGGAAAGTTTCACAATTATAACTTACCTGGGCTCTCCAGCTTACTTTGGACAAATGAGGCCCTAGAATGTTTGGTAAACACAACCTCTAATGGTTTATTGATTTTCAGAAGGAAGCAGTCTACTTTTGCAGTAGGTCCCAACTGGGACTTGTGGACTGACCCCCAACATTTGACATTGCTGTTATTGAGATTTAGAAACTTGAGATGCATTCCTGGTTCTGACTTGGGGGGTAGGGGAGAAAAAGGGGAGCCAGAGATTATCTTTGTGAAAAACTAGCTTTTTATTACATCACCTAAAGTAGCACAACCTGCTACACTAATGAAATCGTGTTCTTGGTTTAAAAGGGCAATTGTTAGACTGACTTTGTGCTCACTAAAAACATTCCCTCAATCTTGTTAAGTTATTGCTCTCATTTCAGATTTTTATGGCTGTGCAGCTTACCAGCCCTCATTTCTTTACGTTTCATTCATTTTCCTTGTATTGATGATTAATGGAGGATGTCGAATGTTAGAGTGAGCAGGCATCAGCAATTGCAAGATCATAATTAGTTTAGCTGACGAGGGCCTCTGATAGCACTTGCATCTGGATGGAAAAATTACCCTATAGGGAACTGGCTGCTCACCAGGTCTTTTTAGTGATACATTGTGAAACACCCGATGAATCAAATGCCCTTTCAATGCCAAGAAAGTGTTCCAGTCTTGAAGCCAAAATTATGTCTGCAGAAAGCTTTCCATTTGAAATGTATCAGAGTACAATTATAACCATTGTATTTTCTTGGCAGGGATACCACTCTTCTACAGTATGGACTCGAGTTAAATAAATTGCCTAAATTTTATGAATCCCTGAAATTTTGACTTACAGCATTTGTAATATTTAATTTATAATAAAATTGGGTTCCAGCAAGACTTTTTCCACTCCTTATCTACCATGCATATTTTATCATTAAAAGCTTTGCTTCCTAGAGAATGGAGAGCTGAGCTGCAATTCAGGCTGTCTTTTTATGCAGCAAGAGAATTCCATTTCCTGCCTGTTAGTATTTGTGCCTGCAAACACAGCCTGACTTTTGTTTAAATGAGAAGTTTAATGGAATCATTACTTGATAGCAAGAATGGAACACAAGCAATACCAATTATCTACTTTTAAATATTCTTAGATTATTTTCGAATCTGGTGATTACAGAATTCAGGCCACTAAAATCAATTTGTATTCGGAAACGATTGTGATTTTCAAGTCTGAGTCAAATAAAATAAATAAATAGCCATTGATGGGACTACATTGTCTGGCTTAAGCAGGCAATTCATAAGGGTTCTCATTAGACTGTACTTCTCTACTGGTTGTCTCAGCTTTAGGGAGTGAAGATTGGGAAATCGAAGTTACTCTTTCATATTTTACAATTGCAAACGAAAGACCAGAATTGAGTGTCGTATGTTCTCTTAATACTTACATTAATAACGTCCAAAAAGACACAAATCAGGTTTAATGTTGAATGGTTTACATGCTGCATTTATTTCAAGCTTGATTATATATTAAAGCTCAGGTAGCATGTCCTCCTTTTCCAAAGTATATTAAACATATTGCTGTGTTCTGTCTTTTTGACTTTTGTTTTGACACTTTTAAAAGGTATATTTTAGGGTTCAGCATTTAGGAGCCATCATTAAAGGCACAAAATGCAAAGTTCAAAAAGTTAAAGCTGTTTCTGTGAAAAGCCTTTGGTGTTCCACACACCTCATCCATCACTGTAGGGTTAATTATAATGAAAATCAGTGGTGCCTATTAAACACAATTGAACCTGACCTCATTATGGGCAGTGTGGTTTTATACTGTCATTGTTGCAAGTCTAAAGACAAAACTCCTGGGTTGATTTGGTCTAACTCCGCTGATCATGTGACTCACCTCTGACCTTGGTTTTTTTTCGGTTTCAGAGGCGCAGAGGCTCGGGTGTTTTTTGTGCCAATTGCCTGACCACAAAGACCTCTCTCTGGCGAAAGAATGCAAATGGCGGATACGTATGCAACGCGTGTGGCCTCTACCAGAAGCTTCACTCGGTAAGAACTCATTCCACCGTTTCAGGAAAATCTTTGTAGAGCAGCGCTGCCTCCTCCCTGGCTTGCAGTGCCTGCCCCCGCAGGGTTGGTGAATACAGTCACTTTGCGTTCACATGTGATTTATGGTGAAACAGGCTTAGATGTTATGGGGAGATACGTTTGAGATCATTAGTAATGCATTATGCTTCTTTTGATGTAAAAGAGGAAAATGATTGATCTCTGGGAACTTCACTTAACAGATAGTCGAACTAATGATTATCAGAATTTGATGGAATTTATTTAGGTAGAAGGCAGAAACCTTCCAAAAAGTTTTAAACATACACAAAAAGTTTTTTTTAAAAAAAAGGATGCACTTATGTGCAGTATAAAAGAGAGGGCAAGGAAAGAATGCTTATTTTCCAGTTTACCTTTGGAATTTGCAAGTACTATCATCTTGGCTGCTTTGGGGGCTGGAGGAGACCGGGCATTCAGAAGCAGAGTTCTGAACTAGACCAAGAACGTCACGTGAATTTCTGGGGTGTTTCCAATAACTATCTGGGCGAGACATTTGAGGTCCTGAATTGCACACACATCAGGGTAAAGTGCAAAGGTGCTTTGTGTTTTAAAATCTCCAGCTGGCTCTGGCTCACTCAGGTCCTTTGAATTACTTTTCCCCAGATTTTAGATAAAATTCTGTAATAAAATTTAAACTCACAAATCCTCCATCTGAATATGCATTTGACTTCCTGAGGACTTTTTTTTTTTAAGATTAGAAAGTTTATGTGCTGACAAGAGCTGACTTTAAAATAGGAATACTCCATTTAGTAAACAGAAATCTAAAATTTCCCGGTGCCTTTTTCATTTTGTTTGGCATTTTACCATAGCTCTTAGCACAAGCCAGTGAATAGATTACAGCTACAGGGAATACAATTTTAGACAAAACATCCTCATAAATGGACCATTAGAAGTACCCTTTTTTAAAAAAAAATACATGCTGCCAACAATACTAATTGGTAGTAAACTATAAAAACCCTAGTTATTAGCATGTAGCTAGTAGAAAGATCACCCACCACTACCACGTACCACCGTACTTTTTTTTTAACTTTCACTACTTAAGCACAGCAGTAAGCTTCCATTTAATGAATACTGACATTAATGATTTTAGTTGAACTTTGGCCAATCATAGGCCAAGAATTAATTAAACTACTGCTCTGCCAGGTTAGGATAATTTAATCATTGTGATATAAACTAAACTATTTTCTAAAAATTATTTTAGTATTCATGTCTCTGGAGGCAAGATGTTTTCAGTTTTGAGATTTTTAAAACCATAAATTGAAATACATAAAGGTTGTGCTCATATTTTATTTCAAAAACTGCCACAAACGTTATGACAGTCATTAATACAAATTTTAAGTTTCTTTATAGTATACATTAAATACTAAATTTTTTACAATATTAATAGGAACGTTTTGTAAACCTGAACATTCTAAACAAAATAAATGCACATGGCATATCCAAGCTATGTGGTATTTTCAGTCCAAAACTAGTAATTGAATTGTCAATAACAAATGTATTATTTTTCTTTCCTTCAAAATACCTTTGTGACAACAGAAATGTTCCAAACAGGATTTATATTTGTATTTTGTTTAATATATAGAAGGTAGTCCCTTGCATTAAGGTTCATCCTTTCTAGAAATTCACAAATTACATGTTGTTTATATTCCTTTTTTATGTAGAAATTATTTCCTGATTTTAATACTCTTAGAAAAATCAGACTTTAGCTCATTTAAAGATTCTTCTAATGTTTTAATCTGTAAATATGCATTAATTTATTAAACTTCTTTTGATTTTATAAATCAAAGTTAGAGCTCTTACTGCAAGTAAAGTTTTTATTACAGTCTCATCTATGTGTTTTATTCATATGACATAAACACCTGCTGAATATATGCATTAATACCAATCATGTAATGTTTAAGCTGAATAAAATACTTAAGCTGAATGAAAGTCAGCATTCAAGAGAGTAGAGTGACAGATTGGATATTTGAACCAAGGCTACAAATGAGTTTAGATTTTTCAACACAAAATTAATCCTTTTCCTATTTAGTAAAATCTTCTGTAGTGAATATAAAATATTACTAAAGGAAGAGAAATAAAAGTAAAAGGAAAAAAATCCTTCTGATATGGCTTTGGTTACCTGATATCTTTCCTCACAATCTTGTGTTTGCATTTGATTATTTATGCTCTGATATTAATATTTTGTATTTATATGTACAGTTATTTGGAAGGATACATGTATTCGTTGGCTGAGGCTGCTGTAACAAAATGCTATAGATTGGGTGACTCAACACAACAGAAATTTATTTTCTCACAGTTCTGGAGGCTGGAAGTCCGAGATTAGGGTGCCAGCATGGTTGGGTTCTGGTGAGGGCTCTCTTTCTTAGACAGCTGCCTTTGCACTGTGTCCTCACATGGTAGACAGAAATCTCTCTCTTTTCCTTTTCCTATAAAGCCACAGTCCTATTAGACGAGGGCCCCACACTTATGAACTCATTTACCCTTAATTACCTCCTACAGACAGACCATATCTCCAGATCAGTTACACCAGGGTGATGGCTTCACCATATGAATTTGGGAGCAACACCATTCAGTCCATAGCAATGCATAATTTTTCCACTGTTGTCATTCAATTCATACCTTGCATGTTACTATGTTGACATTTTAGTGCACAACTCAATCATTGAAAAGATTTCAGAAAAATCACATTTCTTCAAGTCACTTTCTACACAGTTTTATCACTAAGGGATGCGATCACAAAATCGGTTGAGTTTTGAAAGGCTGTTTTCAAGTAGATTAAAGTTTTCAGTCCACCCTGCAAAGATAGACATGATTTCATTAGGCTGAAATACAGTGCACTTTGGTTACTTCCTCTGATCCTCCTTAGGGCAAGAGGGGAAGATTTAGTAAATCTATAGCATAAAGCCTATCCTTGCTTTGAACTTAAGCATGGTTTATATTTGTGAGGAATGTTTAATGCATTTTAATGTATTTTTTAATGTTTTTCCTTTTATATATCATGTGTGTTCTCTGCAGACTCCCAGGCCTTTAAACATCATTAAACAAAACAACGGTGAGCAGATTATTAGGAGAAGAACAAGAAAGCGCCTTAACCCAGAGGCACTGCAGGCTGAGCAGCTCAACAAACAGCAGAGGGGTAGCAGTGAGGAGCAGGTCAATGGAAGCCCATTAGAGAGGAGGTCGGAAGATCATTTAACTGAAAGTCACCAGAGAGAAATTCCACTCCCGAGCCTAAGTAAATACGAAGCCCAGGGTTCATTGACTAAAAGCCATTCTGCTCAGCAGCCAGTCCTGGTCAGCCAAACTCTGGATATTCACAAAAGGATGCAACCTTTGCACATTCAGATAAAAAGTCCTCAGGAAAGTACTGGAGATCCAGGAAATAGTTCATCCGTATCTGAAGGGAAAGGAAGTTCTGAGAGAGGCAGTCCCATAGAAAAGTACATGAGACCCACCAAACACCCAAATTATTCACCCCCAGGCAGCCCCATCGAAAAGTACCAGTACCCACTTTTTGGACTTCCCTTTGTACATAATGACTTCCAGAGTGAAGCTGATTGGCTGCGGTTCTGGAGTAAATATAAGCTCTCTGTTCCTGGGAATCCGCACTACTTGAGTCATGTGCCTGGCCTACCAAATCCTTGCCAAAACTATGTGCCTTATCCCACCTTCAATCTGCCTCCTCATTTTTCAGCTGTTGGATCAGACAATGACATTCCTCTAGATTTGGCGATCAAGCATTCCAGACCTGGGCCAACTGCAAATGGTGCCTCCAAGGAGAAAACCAAGGCACCACCAAATGTAAAAAATGAAGGTCCCTTGAATGTAGTAAAAACAGAGAAAGTTGATAGAAGTACTCAAGATGAACTTTCAACAAAATGTGTGCACTGTGGCATTGTCTTTCTGGATGAAGTGATGTATGCTTTGCATATGAGTTGCCACGGTGACAGTGGACCTTTCCAGTGCAGCATATGCCAGCATCTTTGCACGGACAAATATGACTTCACAACACATATCCAGAGGGGCCTGCATAGGAACAATGCACAAGCGGAAAAAAATGGAAAACCTAAAGAGTAAAACCTTAGCACTTAGCACAATTAAATAGAAATAGGTTTTCTTGATGGGAATTCAATAGCTTGTAATGTCTTATGAAGACCTATTAAAAAAAATACTTCATAGAGCCTGCCTTATCCAACATGAAATTCCCTTCTTTTATTATTCTTTCTTTTGATGAGTAGGTTACCAAGATTAATAAGTGAGACAAATGGTCAATGAGAAAGAATGGAAGATGGTAAACAATCATTTTTTAAAACCTAGTAAGTCAAAACCTTCTTGGCTAATGTGTCCTGGGGAAACGATCCATAAGAAATACCACCAGACTATAATTACTGTCTTTGTAAAGAAAGAGATAAAAACTGTCTAGAATTTGAAAGGGTTTACATATTATACTTAACAGTATTGGGCTGGCCATTGGCCCATTTGTTGAAAAACCTATAAATTGTTGCCTAAATTTTGAAGGATCATGAAATCCTAAGCAGACGAGGAGAAAGGGAATCTCCAGGACAATAGAAGGAAAATGGTGCCCTCTCCAATCGGTCTCCTCTCGTTGACCATGTTTCAGATTTCAACCTAGAAATGTGAGCTGTGGTTAAGCTTGGTGAGAGAGCAGCAAGAAACATGACAGATGGTGGCACAATGTTTTTGGCCAGCCCTGCCTGTACATACACATGCACACCCTCTCTGATATTTTTGTCCTTTAGATGTTCAAATACTCAATAGTCCTTTTGTTTGCAGTTTAGGTTCATTTTGCCCAAATATAAATATCCATTTAAAAAAAAAAACAATGTCCTCGATGCTTTCGTAGTAATTTTATTTTAGCCAGCTATTTCTTTCTTGTATGTGATGAACCAGTTTGGATTTGTTTTTTAAGCCTCCTGTTGGTCACTAATCTCACTTGGTACATTATGATTAAAGGAATCCCCTCCGTTTAAAAAACTAGATGGATACAAATGTCAAATCATGGGTTTAATTTGTTTAGAACACATATTTCTCCACAAGGTAACCTGCTGTATTTATTTATTTTCTTTTGGTTAAATATAATTTCCAAACTTTGTGGTCAGGCAGCGTCTAAGGTTACGTTACCACAGACTGACAGTTGGTATATGTACCAGTCAATCCCTTCATTAGATTTATACAGGTTTAGTTAAGTAGCATTAAATAGGATTCTTAGAAGATTGTCTTCATAGTACTTTTAATACTTAAGGCTTTGTAAAAAACTATCCATGAAGGGAAAGCTCCTCAGCATAACTGCTCAGGGAAATAGGGCTAAATAACTGAACATTAAATAATTGGTTAAAGGTGCTGTTAGTCGAGCCTCAATGCTTGCTACAAGGATGTATGTACAAGGACTGACTTTAATAATTTGCATTATATTGTCCCAACCAGTAGTTTATTTTTTGCCACGGAGATGTAGAAGATATTACAAGCTACTGGATGCACTGTCAGATTAACTTATTTCATTAAAGAAGTTGGGAGAACAAATAGGAAAAAAAAAACTTATTTTTCTAGTAAATATTAATGTATTACATTTCAAATAATGGTGCCTGACATATTGAATAATTATTTTCTACAGTGTACGTATGCAACAAAGATATTCCATCATGCATTGGAGTCAGTTCTGGCTCTGCCTAGCTGTTTACATTTGCAAATGTAGCAAACAAGGTAATGAAGCAACTATTTCTATTGCAGTAGATATCTTTGTGTGTGTGTGCGTGTGTGCGTGTGTGTGTGTGTGTGCATTCAAGTTGTAAACGGTAACATGAAACAAATGAAAGTTCTTGATATAATGGTATGGAAAACAAGAAGGAAATGAAAATATTTTTATGCCTACTTAGGAAAAAAGGGTAGCACTATTCATTCCAAGTACTTTTTTTTTTATTTTTAAGCTTTTTAAGCTCTTAACTCACATTGTTATGCTTAAGATGATAAACATATATCCTCTTTTTATTGCTTTGTCTATGTTTCAGAGGAAGCATTTCAGAAATTATTTTGATAAGTGTTGCTGGAATCTGCAGCACTGATGTTTTTATCGCATTCTGTAGTCGCATTCGCACTCCATTTTTACATTCATTTGCGGTTGCTTTGCATTGTTTTGTTTTCTTCGGGTTTTGTTTCTTAAAGTTGGATGGCAGGTAGAGTTCCACCAGTTCGTGACTGTTGTAGTGAATGACGTTAAAAGTGTCTCCGATGTTGTGTTGTCATTTCCATTCTTGCATTTTCGTTTTCACTTAAAAAAAAAAAAAGAAAAAGAAAAAGCGAGAGAAAGAAATCAGGACTAAGTCCTCTGCTTCAGTTTCACTGTTAAAAAAGGGCCCTATTCTGATCTCACCTGTCGCGTAGCTCTAATATTCACATAAACTGAAATAAAGAGGTGGAATGAGGAATGCTGACATTCAAATTATGTGATTTAATTTATGCTTCTTAGGAATTTTGATGGATGCATCTCAAAATATATAGGCAGACCTGAAAGGTGATGATTAAAGATCTAAAAAAGAGAGGAGATTTCCCAAACAACAATATTTAATTTTCTTAGTAAAAAGAATAATAAAATGCACAGTGGCAATCCTCAAGCTAAATAATATGTGGAATGCTCAAATCAGCAAAATACCAGAAACCTGGTTAACTTGGGCAATATTACAGGTATTACTTTGTGGACAAAACTATTTCTTAAGCAATTTCTTCAGTGTTTCAGACACAGGTTATTCATTTTTTGGCATGTATGCCTTTTTTTTAATTTAATTTTTTTTCTCAGACAGACGTAGTAATGACTAGCATTGGAAAATACATATCACTATTCTTGGAATATTTATGGTCAGTCTACTTTTGGTAGAATATTCTTAGATAGCATTGACATGATAGATCTTATTCCATACTCCTTTATTATTGATTACTTTATTTTCATTTTTGTTTTCATTATTATACATATTTTGAAGGAGAAGATGTTGGGCTTTTTAAAAAGATGAAAATTTATCATAACACTAAAATACTTATTTTTTGACTTATTAAAAGCCTTTGTTCCATCTCTCAAAAAACATTATAACAAAAGGGCTTTTTTTTTTTTTCTTTTAAGATTTCTAAATCATTTTATCTTAAATTGTGATTTTTAAATGAGCTATTTAGGTACTTAACCTTTTTTTTTTAAGACTTTCGTGATGATTTAGGAATTTTCCCTCTTGGAAAAGGCTTCCCCTGTGATGAAAAGTATATGCCGGCCAAAATTGTATGCCATTAAAACCTGTAGGTCTTTTTAGATGACTTGTCAATATTCTAAATTGAGCTTTGTCTCAGACTTTAGGCCAGGACCAGCTCATGCATTCTCACTGCCCCTGCCCCTTTTCCAACGCTTTCTCTCATCATAACTCCCCTATATCCGTACTGTTGTTTGGGATAGAAACACCATCTAGAGCCAGCCCACCTCTCGGAATGTTATGGATTGAGAGAGACACTACACGACTCTAAGTAGATGAGAAAAAGATGGAGCTCTCCACGTTAATACATTAGTTCAACAGGAAAAGAGTGTGCCCAATTCTCTCTACATGACATATTGAGATGTTCTTTAAAAAAATCAACTTTTAAGATAGTGATGTTCTGTTCTAAACTGTTCTCTTTTAGTAAAGGTAGATTTTAGCAAACAAGCATGGGGATTCTTTTCAAAGGTAATATAAATGAGAAGAAAAAAGTGATTATCTTTAACAGCTCTTCGTTGAAGCCTGTGGTAGCACATAACGTTTATGATTGCACATGTGCACATGATCTATTATGATCCAATGCAAATACAGCTCCAAAAATATTAAATGTATATATATATTTTTAAATTCCTGAGGAAATGCATTTTTTCTTAATAAATTGAAAGAGCATCAATACTGCTATTAAAATAATTATTAGCCTCCTTCTGAGTGGCTACGAAACATCACAAAGTGACCTGTCTTGAGGCCTGTGAACTGCCTGCCTATTTAGTCCATGAACATGAACACATTTCTAGAAGGGGAGTGTCTGCCATTGAGCAGTGAAAAGTTGGGAGTCAAGAAGCTGGTGTTCTGTTTCTGTGCTATATGCCAGCCTTCTGCCTAAAGTTTAGATGAGCTCACAGCTACCTATCTTTGGGTTGAGGGTCATGGCAGAAAAACTCAAGGCATCTTTGGTGAGCAAGGAGGTGAAAGCTTGCTGATGTCCTAGACACAGGAGAAAACTGAGCAATTGAAATGCAACCTGAACATGAAACTATGCTAGCCAAAAGTAAGTGCTGTTGGGTGGAATTCTCTCAGCAGGCAACTGTAAATGAGAAGAGAATAGAAAGACACTTGTCCAGACTTTGGAGGGCAGTGTTATTTTCCCAAAGAAAGACTTGGCCAAGGGGAGAGGCATAGCTTCGCCGAGCACTTCCTTTTGGTTTTCCATTGCTGTTTCATAGACAGCAGGCTCACATGTTCCTGATAGTAGTACAGTTGTTTAGAAAGCATCCCCGGTCACTTGCAGTAATTAGAACCTCTGGAAGATGCTAAGGCAGAGTGTATCAAGTCAAGGATGAAGAAAATGTGAAATTCAACAGTAATCCACACATAGAAACTGGATAACGTATGCTCATGTGTTGTTCTCCTGAAAGGAAAGGTAGAGCTGTAAGCCTCACTCTGTCCTCCACCAGAGAAAAGCAAAAGTAAATTCATGATAGAAATAATGTTTAGCCTTCCCCAGAGAAAATGATCCTTTAAGACCCATAAGTCCCAAAACTGGATCCTGGTTTTACTCTTGGTTGTTTTTTCAATATATGAACTGCAGCAAATCACTTTTTCTTTTTTGTGCCTCAGGTTCCTCAGCTGTAAAATGGAAAAATATGTTAATAATAATAATAATATTAATAATAATAATAATAATGGTAATGTAGTACTTGTTTGTAAAGCACTTTGAGATCCTTGGTTGAAAGGCACCGTGGGAGTGCCAAATATTATTATATGTGGCCAAGGGGGTTAAACTCTCAGTTCCCAATGGCCAGGAAAGGTTGGGGTCAATTTTGTTTAAGATGAGCTGTAAATATAGTAACTAGACAGCCTACAGTGTTGACTATGAAGAGGCAAAACTTAAGGCTGATAAAAACCATAGTTTCTTATTGGCTACCAACAAGGCAAATATCAGAGTAACAAATGCCAAATTCCTTCAGGTGAACTCTTTGACAACATGGGTAATTTGGGGGGAGGGATTGGGGTGGGAAACATCTCAAAATGCCAATGTAAAATTAATTTACAGCAATATTCACCAGCAGAAAATGTCTTTCATATGGAATGATTTCATGTTGCTAAGAAAAAGAATTCAATTTGTAGTCCTGATTTGAATAGTAGAATGTTGGCTATAATAGTTCTGTTCTTACAACACATGGAATTTTTTGTTGTTGTTTTATTTTATTTTGTTTTCATAGTGCATGTTCATTTCTACTCACAAACATGTTTTTGGTGTATTTCTTATGCAAACAATCTTCAGGCAGCAAAGATGTCTGTTACATCTAAACTTGAATAATAAAGTTTTACCACCAGTTATACATAACGGCGTTGGTATGGTTTATATGGATTCACTTTCACCATGGAGCAATAGGAAATACAGACCATTGTATCATATAGACAGGCTCTCGTGAACTGAGATGGTGAAATTAAAATCACCATTTTTAAAATTTTTCTAAGATTGATAAAACCTGGATTCTCTCAACTTGTTTTGTTTTGCTTTTCTTTTTTTCTTTAACCAATCAATCTCTATTGATAGATTTTGTGTAAAAAAATTATACTAGTTTCTTTAGGAAGATTAACAATAAAAATTGTACTTATTTCAAAAACATTTATTGAGTATCAAGTATTGAGTGTTGAGTACTGGGTAATGATTATGTTACAATTCACAAAAATTCTTGCTTACGAAATTTAACTTTGATTCAGTTCCGTACACTCACAGGAATATGATGTGAATACCTTTCTTGTTTGCTCAAAGTGGAATTAATCAGAGCAAGGTTTCTGAAGGCTGATTTTGAAAGAGGGAAGAGGCAAATGAAATCCAGACAGGAAGAGGACACGAGAAGACTCACCTGCGTGTTTTTAACCAGAAAGAAAAACACAAAAAGACAGGACATAAAGTTTAAAAATAGTTGATTGCTTCAGATTATTTGTTTTGAAACTTTCAAAATAATTAGTATCTACCCTCCTTTTGCAATCATCACTTCTCATTTTTGTGAACTCAAATTAAGGAACAAATTCTTTTATTTAGTTTTTTTTTTTTTTTTTTTTTCTTTACCCTCCTTTCCTTTCTCCTGTGTTGAAAACAAAAGAATAGAGACTCTTTGAGGGGCTCCTGTAGTGGTAATGAGCTTGCTTCACAGCTGGAGGCAACGTTCTCTAGATAAGGGTGTAGTAATAACACTTAATGGGATTCCTTTCCCGTATATAGTATTTGATTCTTCCATCAGGGGCCACTTCTTAGATAAGGTTGAGTACACTGTGTTCTCACCCAGGACTGTCAGAATGCCATTAAAGGAGAAATATGCAGCTGTCGGCTATTTACCATTGTTCGAGAGTAGAGAAGGGAGTGGGTCAGCTCTGGACTCGTCTCCCACCTCTCAGTCTCCCATCTCTGCGAGGGGAGACAAGGGTCAGGAGCAGGGTTGTGCAGATAAGCAGGCAAGGGGCCTGCCTGCAGGAAGCTGGCTGGGTGGAGACTCGGAGCTGGAGAGCTCCTTTCCGTGTATGAAGGGGAGTCTTTCCTTGGCTGTAAGAATATTAGCAGGGGACAATGCTGACTTGTGTTCCCAGATGTTCAGTTTTCAAAGAAGATCAGACAACGGGAATTTTATATGAAATCTCCGAATTTTTAAATGTTAGTAGCTATTTTTTTTTTAAATACTGCAAAAGCCAAACAAAACCCTTGTTTAGAATAAATTCCCTGGACTGTCAGAGTGAGAGCCCTGGAGCTTGAACACTAGTGAACTCTGATAACTGGTAGGGAGGATATTGGGCAAAGGGCTGAGGTTGCTTTTGGTTCCTCTGGGTTTTGTCTCCAGCTCTACCAGGAAAACCCAGAGAATCGCGGTTGCAGCACCTGCCTGATTCCTTCAGAGCCACATTGGCTTCAGACTAAAAACATTTGCACAGAAGAAAAAAACCCCCATTTTTATAAGCATACTGCAAATTACTTTGTACTTTTATTCTTCATCTTTGTAATCCCAAGTACAGTTGTGTTGCCGTCGTCAGCTTCTAAACATGAACAAATTTACCCTTTCATGAGCAAAGAAATGTCAAAAACTATTAAAACTAGCTAAAATCAGTGTCCCCTAGTGCCCAAGATACCCTTATATCCCTCTCCATGTCATAGTGTTAGAGCGAAAATAACAGGGATAGAAAAACAAAGCATAGCAGTAGATAGGGAGGGAGGGAGGGGCTTTTTCATGTTATAGTTGATCATATTAATGAATAATTTTAAGCATTTCTTAAAACAAAAATAATTTTTCTACTGAAACTTTATTTCTAGTTTTCTAATACTGTTCTCTAATATATTCAGGATGTCAGTAACCTAAGACCATTTTTATAAATGTTGTAGTATTTATATAAAGAATATTACAGCAGGTAACAACTGATTCTTCCAACTTCCTGCTTAATAACAACAAACAAAAAACAAAATGAACAAATATTAACTTTTTTCATGTAAGCAAGAGACTGGGATAGTAACGGTTATAAAAAATATACATATAATAGAAATCGCTTAAATTATTTCCATAAAGAGGTTAATTTCCAAGTTAAGATTGCATGAGCACTAAACTGTAAGCAGTTTCCCAGGAATACTTATGAACTCCAAACCCACAAATACATCACAGTCTTTTTGTCAGAACATGTACCACCTTTACGTAAAAACAATGTCTACCACCACCATATTTACACATTAGTCAGTTTTTAGAGTTAGTATAATATACAATCAACAGTATTTTCTTTAGAGCTTAAATTTACTTAGATATTTTCATTCTACATAGTATGTATTACCCACTGTAATTGATATAACCTTAAAAGAATGTATGGCATCAGTGAGTTTTTGAAGCATTATTTGATATCATCATGATGCTGTGTTTTCTATAATTTTTTTACAATTGATTTTTTCTCTAGTGAAATTAATATTGCCATTATTTTTTTATTTATTGGTGATAATATGTTATACAAACCCAGGCTTCATTCAACAATATCTATTCATTCAACAAATATTAATTAAGCATTTTCTATGTGCCAAGCACTATTCGGGATATATCAATGAAAGAAAACAGACCAAAACTCCTGCCCATATGGAAGGGAGACAGACAATAAACATACACACAAAATAAGTAAATATATTAATAATATTTTGTTAGAAAGTGATAAATGCTATGGAGGAAGAGCAGCATTTGGCAAGGTGGGATGGGTGAAGCCATATTCAATAGGCTCAGCAGTACAGGTCTCATTTGAACCAACACAAAGGAGGGAACAGGAGAGTAGATCATAAAGTAAGAGAATATACTTGGTAAAGTTGAGGAGGAGCAAGAAGACCAATGTAGCCAGGGCAGGGTAAAAGAGGGATAGAGTATTTAGAGATTCACATAGAGACATAGTGTTAAGATGGAAAGAAGTCAGCTCATTTAGAACATGGTCAGCCACAATAAGTATTGTGGCTTTCATTCCGTCAGAAGTGGGAAAGTAATTTAGTGTTTAGAGCACAGGAGTGTTATATGATTTATGTTTTAATGGAACCATTTTCCTCCATGCATAAAGTAAATCATGGGAGGTGAGGAGACAAGATAGAAGCAAGGAGACCAGAGAGGAAGATAATTCAGGGATTGCTGTAAGAGATGAGAAGCCCAGAAAAGTAGTTAAAATTCCAGATAATATTTTGGAGGTAGAGCAAACTAGATTCCTTGGGTGTCGGGTGTGAGAGAAAGAGAAGGGTCAAGAATTATCCCAAGATTTTTTTTTTGTCTGAACAACTGGAAGAATATATCTGCCATAAACAGGTGGGGAACACTGTTGGTGGATCAAGTTTGGAGTAGGACAGGAAAGGAGTTACATTTTGGACATACTGTGTTTAGGATCCAAACAAAAATGTCAAGTAGACTGTTAGAGCTGAGTTGGGAGTTGGGAATTGGATATCTATACACGGTATTTAAAACAGATTGGCTGAGATCATCTAGGAGTAAATAGAGAAGAAAATAAGTCCAATATTTGGAAATCAAAGAAATGAGGAGACACTAGCAACAAAAACCGAGAAGGAGGCGTCTATGAGGTAGAAGGAAAAACAAGAGAGTAAGGTATTTTGAAAGCCAAGTAAAACAAAACTTTACCAAAAAGGAAGGAGTGATTGGCCTTATACGATGCTACTGTTAGATCAAGTAGGATACACACGGAGGACTGGCCATTGGCTTTAGCAACATGAAGGTCACCAGCAGGTTGGGTTATATAATTTGTGGGGCCCCCTTGTTCAACAATTAATTTCAAGATGGTGACAGAGCATTTAACAAAGATCAGGGCCTTAAGACAGGGCCCCGTGCAACTGCAGAGGGCAGGGTAAACTAGGGGAAGAGTATTTCGTGCCCATGAAGCTGGTCCTGGTTGACAGTGATATTGACAAGAGCAGTTTTGGTGGAGAGGTGGATTTGAAAGCCTGGTGGAATATATTGAAGAGAGAATAGAAAGAAAAGTTTGAAAACTGAATATAGAAACATTTGGGGGAGCTTTGCTTTAAAGAGGATCAGGAAAATGGGGTGATAGCTGAACCAACAGAAAATTTGTTTTTGTTTTTGTTTAGTGTAGGAGAAGTGAGAGCATGTTTCTTCACTAAAGACGGTGATGCAATAGGAAGGTTCTTATTCATCTTACAGGAGAGAGAGGAGAAAATAGCTGGAGTGATGATTCATCTTACAGGAGAGAGAGGAGAAAATAGCTGGAGTGATGATTCATCTTACAGGAGAGAGAGGAGAAAATAGCTGGAGTGATGTGTTTCTTCACTAAAGACGGTGATGCAATAGGAAGGTTCTTATTCATCTTACAGGAGAGAGAGGAGAAAATAGCTGGAGTGATGTTCTTTAATAGGTGAACAAGTGAAGGGAGTTAGGAGCTAATGCCCAAGTGCAGAGGATGACTTTTGAAAAGACACGAATAGTTCACAATCACTAAAGACGGTGATGCAATAGGAAGGTTCTTATTCATCTTACAGGAGAGAGAGGAGAAAGTAGCTGGAGTGATGTTCTTTAATAGGTGAACAAGTGAAGGGAGTTAGGAGCTAACGCCCAAGTGCAGAGGATGACTTTTGAAAAGACACGAATAGTTCACAGACATAGTCACAGTGGGCAAAGCAGACCACGTGGACACAGATGTTGGAAAATGCATGGATGTAATGGTGGAGTCCCTGAAAGCTCTATTTTCTTGATGAAATGTTTTTCTTGTGCCACTACTGTTCTGATTCTTACTCCATTCAGAACTCCAAAGCACTCCATTCAGAAACTAGGCAGTTCAAGCAATGAATAAGTCAATGCTGTTTGGTTATATCCA